GATATAGTTTGAGAATGGCGTTCTTGGGAGGCTGAACTTTCAAAAGTTACATGCAAGTCCAATATGTTCGGACCGAAACCGGTCTGGATATAGTTGCAGGTTTTATATTTCTTACTGAAATATACGGACCGATTTCGGTCCGTATAGTATATATATACGAACCGATTATACATCGGTTTGTATATTATACTTATTCGTACCAGGTTTTTTCAGATCAACTATAAGGACCAATATCGGTCCGGATATATATGTTCAGACCGATTTCAGATATATACGGACCGATTGGTCGGTCTGAATATTACATTCCTGCAGTAGTGTAACCTCATTCAAATTTGAAAGGCCTAACTATTGAACGCTATTGTGGTAAAAGCTATCCTTCATGGATGTTAGAAACAAAAAATTTTCTCAAAAATCTGATGTTCATGACCTTTTCTGCATGTCCCTGGTTGCAAAGCATTCCATCACTTTCGCTCAACAATGAGGCAAAGGTGGAAATTACAAATTGCAAGAATTTGAAAAGCATTGGAGATTCATCCCTTCAGAAACTCATCATTGAGAGCTGTGAAGAACTGGTTCGGGTAGAGGTTGGACCAGATGCCATGAAGTCTCTCAAAGAAGTACATATAGAGAGTTGTGGTAAATTGGAAAATCTTCCAATGATTAGTAAATTACAATCCCTTGAGGTACTTGAACTTCAGCAATGCAAGGAATTGAAGATGATTGGAGATGATGCTCCATTTACCTCCACGTGTCCACAAGAGTTAAATATTCAGAATTGTCATAGCCTGATGTCCATGCCCAATGTAGATGGGCTATCCTCTCTTCAAAAAATTAAAATAGAGAGCTGTAGGCAATTGAAAAGCATAGGAGAGGATTTATCTACTGCCACGTGTCTCAAAGAGTTGATTGTAAGGGACTGCTATGGTTTGATGTCCTTTTCGAACCTCTATGGGCTGTCCTCTCTTCAAAAAATTGAAATACACTAGTGTGGGCAATTGAAAAGCATAGGAGAGGATTTATCTACTGCCACATGTCTCAAAGAGTTGACTATATATGGTTTGATGTCTTTTCCGAACCTCCATGGGCTGTCCTCTCTTCAAAAAATTGAAATACTCTCTTCAAAAAATTGAAATACGCTAGTGTGGGCAATTGAAAAGCATAGGAGAGGATTTATCTACTACCACGTGCCTCAAAGAGTTGATTGTAAGTGACTACTATGGTTTGATGTCCTTTTCGAACCTCCATGGGCTATCCTCTCTTCAAAAAATTGAAATACGCCGGTGTGGGCAATTGAAAAGCATAAGAGAGGATTTATCTACTGCCACATGTCTCAAAGAGTTGAGTGTAAGCGAGTGCAACTAGGGGCGGAGGCAGAAATTTTTTTCAGGGGGGGCAAAAAACTAAAATTTTCAAAATTCAGGGGAGGCTAAATAATTTTTCATATGCTAATTTGCAATATTTTCAAATTTCAGGGGGGGCGAGCGCGCCCTCGCACCCCCCTGGTTCCGCCACTGAGTGCAACGGTTTGATGTCCTTTCCAAACCTCCATGGGCTGTCCTCTCTTCAAAAAATTGATATACGCAGCAGTGGGCAATTGAAAAGCATAGGAGAGGATTTATCTACTGCCACGTGTCTCAAAGAGTTGACTATATGGGGGTGTGATGGTTTGATGTCCTTTCCGAACCTCCATAAGCTGTCCTCTCTTCAAAAAATTGATATACACAGCTGTGGGCAATTGAAAAGTATAGGAGAGGATTTATCTACTGCCACATGTCTCAAAGAGTTGACTATATGTTCGTGCAATGGTTTGATGTCCTTTCCAAACCTGCATGGGCTTTCATCTCTTCAGACTTTATCAATAGAGGGTTGTGGTGGATTAAGAAGTTTGCCAAGTGGGTTGCCATCATGCACTGCTCTTGAGAGTTTGGATGTCTCCTACTGTGATAAACTAATCTCTATTCCAGATGATTTAAGGAGGAGCTGGAGCATCCCTAACCCTACCTGCCTTTCTCACTTGAAGTGGCTGACTATTGGTGGTTTCTCAACAGAGCTCAAGGAATTTCCAGATCTGGGCTTCATCTAATCTCATCTTGAAGAATTGACTTTGATTGCATGGGGAGAACCAAGGGAACGTCTGCTGGATTAAATTCGACCCCTAACTACCCTTAATTCTCTCAAAATAAGGGATTTTGATGGACTGGAAGCTTTGCCAAATTGGTTTGGAAACTTATCCTCTCTTCAAACTCTGTGGATTACCGACTGCAAATCTCTGAAACATATGAAAGCCATCCAACGCCTCTCCAAATTAGAAAGCCTTTATATTGATGGATGCCCTAAGTTACAGGAAAGATGCACCA